AGAATATTGTGTTTCTAGCAAGTTAGCACCGGGCGCGCGGGTTTACCCACGAGTTAACATTAACGATTGATAAAATGTTTTTTATAATGGGATGAGAATTAATGCTTTACATAAAGTGAAAAAAATATCTCTGCGATGTGTCCTTGGTCTGGTGAGACCTGCGTCAACCGATAGGTCAGGACGCCGTGATTGCAGCCTGCCTGTACTAGTACAACATAACATTCCTTGACTGCAGATTCAAAAATCTTTGTAATGTATGTAAGTAGATACTGATAACACATTTTCTGATACTCTTAGGTACTAATCCATTGGTTTGGGTTGAATAAAATCAGAGAATAGAATTTGATGTATAAGTAAGTTATAAATCAGGTGATTAGCGAAGCTACCTACACAATAATGAAACGTAGGTACTACGTACATCTATTGATTAAATCATATTTAAATCATGTGAAACCAGCAACATTAGTGAATATACAGACAAACCATTTAAATTTTCTTAATTGCTTATTTTACTAGTATTATTAGCATGTATACACATACACAAAGTGCGTCAAGCAGGGTTGCCAACTTTATTTTTTTGGAAGATTGTACCATACATTTAAAAATCGTACTTTGAATTAAAAAATAAATGGCAATAGAATGTGGTATTACTATAACTTCAACGCAAAATTTAACCTTTTGGTATAATATTTAAGAATCCGTACACCAATTTAGCAACGAAACTTTACTACGAGCTTTATTTACTAAAGAAAAGGGCTCGGAAGAGACTTTGTCATGAAATCCACACGAAACAATAAACACCAGTATCATTACAACTTAAACGGGATATTTACCATGTTTATTATTACTTAAAAAAATATATTAATAAACACTAGTACATATAACAACAAGTACGGATACTTGTTTATAATGTTTCTTAATGCTTCTTACTCGAATTTTCTTGATTATTAAAGATTCAAATTAAAAGATGTTTTATTTCACACTGAAGAATGTTAGCACAGTATTTTAGCATAGTTTTATAGTATTTAGAATAATTTTGACATTTTAATTCAGTAGCAGTCTCCCAGATTTTGTATTAGTCGTGTTGGCAATTGGCAACACTGCTTAATAGAACTTGACTGCACTTGACAACTTGATGGTGGTGTTAGATTAGATCTGCTATTCAAATTTCTTGAAACATTTCATAAATAAGATACATTTGATGTTGAGATTGAATTGCAACTGAACTGCCTAAAATGAACCCGACTAATAAACTTGCGTGTATACGACATACTATGTATTCAGGGCCGCAAAATTCAAGGAAAAAGGTGCAAGCCGCATTCATAAGACATCATGAAAGTTCTTTTAGTGATCTATAGTGAAGAAATCAGATTACTATAGGATTTCAAATCAGATTTACGTGAGTGAAGTTTATTTGATACTCATTGGTTTATGTTCTAGAAAAGGTTATGCTCGATAAGGTTATCCTATTATGTATTGAGAAAGTTTTAACAAATTGCAGAATAATGATTGTCACTTTGTTCATTTTAGGTATGCAAACGTCGTAATGCCACGGTCAGAGCGTAGCAAAGGGTGTGCAAGGAGTTTAGGACTTTATTTTTCATTTTCATCAAGAATGAAAATTCTTATAAATGGCTAGTTTTTCATTTCCACTGATTAGTATACCTAATAATAAAGCGAAAATCATCTGGACACCTTTTATCTAGGCCTTATGAGGGTCACAGTTCTAACCTAACCTAACCAAATGTGTTGGGGTGCACAAAAAGTGTTTTACATACTCCCCCAACTGACCTTTAGGGCTCAGTTTCAGGCGAACCTGAAGCCTTTTATCTAGATAAAAAGTGCCCAGATAATAGTCATCTTATTTTTAGGTATACTAAACGATAGAAATGAAAAACCGAGCCACTTATAAGAATTATCATTTTTGATGAAAAAATAATTAAAAGTCCTAAACTCCTTGCACACCCTTTGCTACACTCCAACCAATGCCACACCATGTCACAATCATGTGAAATGCATTCTCTATAAAAATAATATTTGTACTAAAGATATGATGTATGGAAAACAAAATGAACATGTTGCGTAGAGCATGTTTATGCAATAATATGGCAAATAGTCAGACCATCAGGACTTTTCATTAATGAAGAATTTGGATTCTTAGTAGCTAGCCCTGATGGTAAAATTATTCGATAATAAAAATATACAAATAACTAGTTTTTGTCGTGTGAATATTTTAAATAGGGTTCAGTAGCGTAAACCTAAAAACTTTTCTTTTTTACAGATATTCAAAATATTCGATAAGCATCAGAAAATAGAAATTTTCCTATTCATTTGGAAAATGATGTTTTAGTTATGAACAAAAAGCATAATTACTATTATCAAGTAAGTATATCATTATTATCAAATATTATTATTATTTCATTATTATCAAATATCATTATCATTACCAAGAAGGTATGTATGTATAAAAATAATGTATTTCTTGGATTGTTTCTTTTTAACAGCTATTATTATTTTGATTCTAGGTCCAGGGTCAATTGCGAATTACCAAAATGAATAAATGTTACTTCATTTGCTATATCAGTCACCCAACCATTGACTGTCATAGAAGTTAACCAGAATGAGGAATTTATCAGTACTATGATGCCGAAGTTGGTGACAGTTTTTAAAAGATGTGTACTGCCGGAAATTATTTTGAGAAGAGTTGAGAAAAATGCTAAATGTCTGGACATCAAGGAATTAAAAGGTATAAAAATATAAGTCTTATTCATTTCCTAACTTATTTCTCAGGGCTCTGAGGTGTGGGTTCAGTAAGAATAGTCTAACAAAACTGTGTAAATTCATTTGTTGCAGCGAAAACTGCGTCTTCCAGCATTTGATTCAGATTGCACGGAAATTATAAATGGAAGTAAAAAGCGATAAACAGAAGACTGATATGGCGCGGCGGCGGCGGCGGTGACTGCAAAAAGAAGACATTTTATTATAATATATATAAGAATCTTTGTATGGTGGTACAAGTTGATTGTTCGAATCCAAGCCGGCACTTTGCTTTGTGTAGCCTGATTCTCAGCAGTGTGAACATTATAGAATAATTAATAAGCTATTTTTGCACGTAGCTATGTATAGTTTGTGTTATTTTGTAAGTCCATAAGATTTTTCTGTGTAGATAAGTTTGCCTCATGCATTTAGGTACCAGCCTAACAATTCAATTGTAAAACAATATTTATTGAAGTTCAAAATTGTAAAATAAATAGGTATTCTTGAAACATAAATAAATGTTATGGTTAGCTAGCAACCACTTGTGCGATGTATAGTTTGTGTTATTTTGTTAGTCCATAAGATTTTTCTGTGTATATAAGTTTGCCTCATGCATTTAGGTACCAGCCTAACAATTCAATTGTAAAACATTATTTATTTAAGTTCAAAATTGTAAAATAAATATGTATTCTTGAAACATAAATAAATGTTATGGTTAGCTAGCAACCACTTGTTGTTGATTTTATGACTATAATGTTATACTAATTAATTGAAGTAAATAAATGTAAGATACTTGCAAACTTACATGTACCGTTATATATACTTATGATGTTATTTATATTGTGATCTACATACATAATAATTATTTCTAATACTAAATTTAAAATTATAAAACTAAGTAAATATCAAAACAATCAAAAAATTATGTTATCTTTGTATGGTGGTATGACTCCATGGTTTGAATCCAAATGGAAACTATCTAAGTAAATGTAGTGAGAGTAAATAAAACGATTATTTTTATGAAAATATTAACCCTATTTTACTAAATAAATCTTATTAATTTATAGTAAGATACAATAAAAAGCTTTACAATGGAATAAATAGTCTTTCATTTATTTATTTAGTAAAGTCACTATTTACACATTACAATTTAGGTTCAGTCACATTACAACAATTTTTTAGGTGTAGGGTCTTTTTTTTTTAAGGGGGGAAAAATCATCGAATGACTGCTCCCGCCTGGGTGAGGCGGAAGGGAGTGTCAGACTCTTACTGACTAAAAACCACCCCGTTCCTTCTCCTGCACGTCGAGCCGGAGCCCCGGTTACCCGTTAGGTTCTCCGCGACAGGTGTAGGGTCTAGGGGTATAGTATATAGTGTACAGTGTACCTATTTTACCTAAAATAAATTTTATGAATAATTTGCTAGATATCGAGTCTAGAAACAAAAGTATACTTAGACCAATTATTATACTAATAAGAAATAGATGGGAACATAATTTCAAGTATGTAAATTAATATTTTTATAGTATAACGACATCTGGTGGTGTCGAAAGTTACTACTATTTACTTTGCATGTGTGTGTAAACAGTAAAGTGAAGCGGCTAAATCTTTATTTTGTAGTAATCTTTGTATGAGACCAGTTAACAAGCACAACGACTATCTAAAAAATCAAGTTAATGCCCTAGGTTTCGCGAACAATAAAGTTATCTATTAAAGATTTCGAAGTTAGGCGTAAAACGTGAAAATGTTCCAATTTGTGGAAGTTACGCCATCTAGCGACAAAATGGCATTTGAGATCATCATCCATCCACCTTAAATGGTGGTATTTGTACAATAATATTCTCAACCAGTCAAGCTTATCTTGTTACATTGGTTACATGATTCATGGTAGATGTCCCACTCACACGCACGAAGCGCTTCGCATCAAGCTTCTATGTGCGAACAGCTAAGAATAGGAACTTCTTGCCGCAATCTGTATTTCCCGACAAATATAACTTGAGTGTCTTCAAGACCATAGTGAATAGGTTGTTTATGGGACGACGTGCTCCATCGTAGACCACATTTTCGCTTACCATCAGGCGAGATAGTGGTCAAACGTCGACCTATCAAGTACAAAAAACCTATCATAACTGAAATGCTGGTATTTGTCCAATAACATTCTCAACCAGTCAAGCTTATCTTCCTACTTCCACGTCCTTCTTACACGTGTTATACACAATGTTATATAACAGTGTTTTGTTCCAGGCCCGCCATATATCCGCACGCTGCCGCCTTTCAAAGTGCAGAGTGGACAGAGTGTCACACTGAAGTGCCCCTACTACGGATATCCAGTGAGGTAATGTAATATTTTAAGTATTAGCAATGTGCGAAGCAAAAGTATTACTTTTTTATTCATTTATTTATTTAGTAGATGCCCGTGACTTTGTGTGCGTGGAATAGTGATTTTAGGTAGTTCTTCACAGGTCCTCCTCCGTAGGTGATAGCGTGATGATATATAACTTATGTGTTGACCCGATCTGTTAGTAATATTCATGCAATATTTTTTATAGCATGACACAAAATGTTATGTTAATGTTTACAAAATGGTATTATGCTAATTACATAATAAGTGAAATATCAAACAAACGCTAATAGATAAAAAATCTTCACAAAAAGACGTAAAGTGTACTAAATGATCGTTATTTTCTAAAAATTATCAGATAAATAAACATCATTAAAAACACCAATCAAAATTAAACGTAAAGAAAACAACAAAAAATATCTTAAACAGTTTAAGAAAGCCAATTTCAAAGTTCAGTAAAATACAGCGAATTCAGCAGCAAACTTAAAGCGCCTCTTAAATGTCCTAATAAAAATGAGCGCTGAAATGCAGCGCGCTCAGCGAAACGTGGGTCTAGAAGTATTCTTTTGAATTTACGCTTAAGTTCACTTTTTTATTAAATAGATGAAGTTTAATGTGTTGCAATGATGAGATAGATCGGTGGGAGGATTTTGTAGGAACAGAATTTTTGTATGATAGTATTTCTAGTAAATAATTGTATGTTTCATGTCAAAGAGTGAGTTATTCGTTTATTTGTCAAAAATAAAAGATGATAACACAAAAAAGTAAAAATACGTCAAAAATCGATGCATTTCAAAGTCAATTTCAAAATTATATACATATTTCAATTAGACCAGAAAGGCACTTTTGAACATCAACAAAAAATAGAAGTAAAGCTATTTGCCATTCCAAGGTGGAGAAGAACGAGCAAGAAACTCCATAGGTTACTCTTTTTCAATCAGGTTCACAATACAATTCTCTAGTTACATAGGTTTATTGTTTGGATTGTGCGAGGACAATGTAACACTAAAATCCAGTCAAAGATTTATTTAATTAACCTCTTGTATGTCGATTATATAGACACAATTTTTCAATTTTTGGTTTCTATGATTCTGTAAATAGACAGACAAACTGACATTCTATTTTTTGTACTTGTCCTTACAAAAACGAAGTGCCAAATTACAACTGCCTTCAAGGAGTTTCGGATATAATTCTTGGATAGAATGAGACATTTTTGGATAAATAGTTTTTTTCGTATTATATTTAAGTGTGGGATATCCATGCTTCGGCACGAATGGGCCGTCTCTCGACCGGAGTGACACCACGGCCTTGCAGAAAACCGACGTGAAACAACGCTTGCGTTGTATTTCGTCGTGTAAGTGAGGTTACCGAAGGCCTAATCCCCCAATCACCGAACCATTCCCAACCATCCTCAAATTCCTAATCCCCAAATGGCCGGTAACGCACATGTAACACCTCTGGTGTTTCAGGTGTCCATGCGCGGCGCTGATTGCTTACCATCAGGTGATCCGTCAGCTCGTTTACCAGCTTATTCCGGAAAAGATCTTATTCACTGTTGCAAAAATCTCAATTCCTATTACAGGGAACTAATAACATTACTAAATGAAGTTGTAACTACAACACTGATACCTTTCGACAAAAAAACAGGCATAGCGTTAAAAAAAATAATAAAAAAAAACAAAAAAAGACAAAAGCATATCGGTTGTGAGAAAAGTGAATTGAATCCCACTGGACGGTAGAATGCTTGGAGCTGACAGATTTGAATTGATTGATTTTAATTGTTATTAAGATTATGAATGGAAATGAAAGCCATTGTTTTAAAATGTACCAAGGAAGATTATTTGCAGAAATAAATTCACTTGTTTCACTTGTTTCATTTGAAGCAGAATTTAATTATAAAATGGTATACTTTAATATTTTTGTTTCGTTAAAAACATACTGTTTGTTTTTAACTGGTTCCAAAATATGAAGGAGGTTCAAGGTTCAATAACTTAGGCCTAACGCTTTATTATACTTTAACCTACACAGGACCTTCTTTAATATACTATACCATTACCCCATCAGTTTCTGTTTCATAACATATCGAACTTAAAACCCCTTACTCGGCAGTACCACTTTTATCTACAAAGATCAAGTTAACTTTTGTTCCACATGAAAAACATAATTTATTAACAATATATTTACGAAGAATACTTCCAGTTTTTGATGTCGTTTTTACGATCTCGTCTCGAGAACTCCATCAAATATTTTTATGACAAATAAAGGACGGACGTGTGGCATTTTTGTTTGACAAAAAAATTCCAATATGGCGGCCGTCTTTTGTTTTTTTGTACCGTATCGCTGTAGCCGTGTTGCTAATTAGAAAAAATGAAAAATTGCATAAAAATTGACGGGGTTCTCGTTAGCGATTGGTAGTTTATTTTTCGAATGGTGTTTTTGAAATGTTTCTTAGTGTATCTGGTTTTCGGTATTTAGTTAATTTAAGTTTTTTAATGATTTCATGTGAAGCTTTGGTTTCGAAACTATTTTTCTTCCTTCTCAACATCGAGTTATTCTATACCAAATCTAAATTCAACAAAAAATGGTTCAGATATTCACTATCGTTTCAGCATAGTATAAAGAACAAAGTAGGTTATCTTCATACAAATGCTCCGCGCGCGGCTTATATGTGTGCGCCATAGTATCTATGCGTCGACGCACGCACACTTTAACAAAATCTCGACCCGTTTCTCAGTGCGCCAGGCAGGGCTAACACTGCACGAGGTTCGCGCGCGCATCACTTTTCGGCACTGTTAAATGAAATAAAAAATGTCTGATAACCGTAGAAGAACGTATTGCTGTGTGTTTGTAATTAATCGATTCCAGAACTGTCTCTGTTCAGATTACCTATTGAACAGGAAAGATAAGCTAGTCACTTTTTCTAGCATAATATAATTTGTAGGTACTTGATGATGAGATACCTACTTACTTATTCTTACTCTTATCATTCTTCATAGTTCCTACTCAACCAGAAATGTAATACCTACTATACTTAAATATTATAAGAAAATGTGGTATTGTATTGTTTATTTCACAGTTTATCTGATTTGTTAAGAGCGTGGCCGTGTCGCATTTTTCCATATAAATGTATTCCCAAATTTACTTTCTGAATACTATGTATAGAGCTAAAGTTTATTTTAAGAAGTTAATAATCTTTTTATAAGCTTTTTATTTTTACTAAATTTATAAATTGATAAAGTATTCAATCATAATATGCTTTTCATTTCATAAATTTAGATCAAGTGCTGCTTGTTCGAAAATATTAACTAAAAGTAAAAGTGACAACCCTGGGGATCAACGCAAGAGTAGGCTAATAACTCGGCGGGCGGCCTTAGATAACCTACTGTGTTCTTTATACTATGGTTTCAGGTTTAAAATATTGTCAACTTTTTTATGACTATGCCAAAACACCTCACCATTTATTAAATTCTCTTTCATAACTTCTGACTTCATAAATACATATTATTTCATTTAAGTACAATTACAATAAAACCAGACCTGTAGATCGTAAAATATTTATTCCTTACCATAATGAAAGTCACCAACAACACAGTCACTATTTATTTCATTCTGTCAAAGTAACAATACTAAAATAGCTTTCAGGAATAATATTATTGTACCGAAAATTGTGTTACTGTCCCAAATCCTGAATATCTTTCTACAAACTTCTTTAACAACAAAAAGATAAACAATTTCCATCTTCTAATCTACCTACATTTAAGAAAACATCAACAGAAAATCTATGAGCACATTTTCTTTACAGGGAAATAACTTGGGAATATAAAGGAAAAGAAATAAACACGGATACAGCTCAAAACAATCGATACAAGAGATCTTCGAACAAAACGGCAAGTATCGAAATATTTGGCCGAAAACCGAAATTAAGAGAGAAAAGAGACGTACCATTGGTTTCAAACGATGGCGTGTTGAACATCGCAAAAGTGTCGAAAAGTGATAATGGGGCTGCTTATTCATGTATTGTAAGAAGTCCGTCAGGTGAGATGGCGAAACGATCGTTCGAGTTACACGTAGTAGAGGCTCCTCAGTTGGAAGAAATATTGTTGCCGACGGATTTACAAGAGGGACAAATAGTTCAGATACATTGTAATCTAAAGAGTGGAGATTCGCCAGTTTATTATTCTTGGCTGAAAGATGGCAAGAAAATTCCTACGCATTTGAAGGTAATTCTCCTGTTTTAGTTGTTGGACATTTTGTTCTGTTTTCTTGGAGACAATTTTACTGCGACCATTTCATATTTTTGTTGCAACATATTTTTGGGTAGAACCTTTTCATTTTTCGGTCTGATGTCTCTATAGAGGTAATATTGCTCCATAATTCCATAATTCCATTAATTGTCGAACGATCTGTTATCGGTGGTATTTCCGAACCGATACGACCTTCGGACCTTCAAAAAGGAGCATATTCTTTTTTAAAAGGCTGGCAACGCACCTGTGACTACTCTGGTGTTGTTCGTATTATTGTTGCCATTACCATTCATCTTTTCCTCCTAGGATGACTCCGTATTGTTGTTGAAAATAAAATTATAGCATTAACATCATTCTTAAGGCGAATGGTCGCAAGGGTTCCTTTCCTTTATCAGGCCAACGACTCATATTATTTATCGTTACAGTATGGAGTTAACTCAAAATTGTGTCTTGTGTACACCAATAGGCCTCCTATTACATGAGAATACCTCTTCTTATTTGAGACTCATTAGCAGTAACTAATGATATTCGATTCTTCACACAATTTCACTGAGTATTTTAAACAAAACCATTCTAATTGTCATCTTATTTCAGATCGCAGAGAGAAGTCTGGAAGTGTTCAGTGTTCTCATCATCAAGAACGTATCCTTAGACCATTGTGGAACCTACACCTGTGTCGCAGCCAACCATGTTGCGAAAGTGAATAGAACTGTAAACCTGTACATAAAAGGTATAGTATTGCATGTATCTTTGTAACAATAGTTTACGTTGAACACGTTAGCAATAGAATTTAAGTTTAATTTTGTTAGTTTTAAGGTTGGATTTTAAGAATCGTTTTTCTTAATACTTAAGATGGTTTCTTTAAAGTTATTTCTATTGAGTTGGTTTAGGAAATTTGTTGTCACGTACGAGGTATTATTATTAGAATAAAATTGAAGATGTTAAGAGTTCAGTAATAACATAGAGTCTAGGATTGTGCTCCAAGTATGGCAGTAGACTCCCACTTATTGCAAAAGGCTCCTACCCTAATACATGATACTCATAACATAGTGAGAGCCGCGGATGGCTTAATAGGTTGCCGGGGCTCCGGCTCGAACTGCAGGAGTAGGAACGGGGTGGTTTTTAGTCAGTAAGAGTCTGACACTCCCTCTAACCTCACCCAGGAGGGATAAGTCATTGGATCATTTTCTTTCCTCATAAAAAACAGCTGGTGTAAAGTTAGTTTTACATTGTATAGAGGTAATATATGTGCCAGTTCGTTCAAGGTTATAAGGTATGATGTTATATTTTTATAATAAATATAATTAAGCTTAGAAAACCTCCTATCAACATTCACAATCAACTTTGATTTACTCCAAACCTATCGATTCTATTTTAAAACAAAAAAGTTCCGAATCAATGCTAAAATATTTCCCAATTCGATATTGTAACAAAGACAATCAACGAAATGAGTTTTATTATGAATATTTAATATCCTACTGGAGTGCGTACTCAAAGGTGGTATTCAAATTTTATTTCCCGATTTTTAGGGGCCCGTACTCTGGGACCAACAACAATTGTAAGGCTTCTTTAAGGTTTAAAGGTTATTTTAAGGTTAGTTATTGTTTAAAATGACTTGAATGATTTATTTATTTATTTAAAACCTTACCTAAAATTATCATTACAGTTTTCTCCTTTGCGATAGTTTAGGCCTTTTTTACGGGGGGAAAATCATCGAATCACTTCTCCCGCCTGGGTGAGGCGGGAGGAAGTGTCAGACTCTTATTGACTAAAAACCACCCCGTTCCTTCTCCTGCGCTTCGAACCGGAGCCCCGGTAACCCGTTAGGTTCTCCGCGACATACTTTAAGCCTAAAACTAAATCTATGTATCTAATTACTAATTTAAAACAAGTCAAAACAAAGTCAAAAAGAGAGCATACACAAACTTAACTATTGACTAAAAGAAAAAAAAGTAAATAAAGAAAAATATTACCTTTTAAGTTCTCCTTCCTTGTCACTTAAACTTAACATTAATCCATAAAAAATAAATGAGATAATACTGACGACTTTATAGTTCCAACTACTTACTAAATAACAATTATAAAACAAAATGAAATAAAATAATTAACATTTGAAAAAATGATAAATAAATAATGTTATACATCTGAATAAAAATAAAGCTACCTAGATGACTCCGGTGTTCACTATCTGTAGACCGTAAGAAGAAGCAACGACATAATTTCAGAGGTTTAGTCATAGTTTTTTTTTTCTTTATTTTATTTAGGGACTTTTATACAAATGTACATGTCAGTCCCATCGGACCTTATCCTTACTAATATTATAAATCTGAAAGTGAGTTTGTTTGTTTGTTTGTTTGTTCCACCATCACGCCGTAACTACTCAACCGATTGCTTTGAATTTTTGCAGACGTAAAGTTAGAAGTCCGGATTAAATAATAGGGTACTTTTTAACCCAAAAAAATTGATATTTCCGAGGAAAAACAAAAGTATTGGTATAGATGGCGCTGTGTGTATTCGTATAGATGGCGCTGTATGCCATTTAAAACAATTCAACGAACGAATTACCTACTAATTGGAAATTTCACACAATCTACACTTATTCGGTGCACTTTTCGACTCATTTATTTGCTGTTTTATATGTCATTTTAAAAACGTGGTAACGTTGTGTTTTTAAGTATTTTTCGTTTTTAAATTTTGGTTCCTACCATTTTACATCGAATTGTGTATTTTATACATTTTAGGTTGTTAAAGGTACACGAAATTGATGTCTATGTAGTAGTTACGCTACTTGGCGATAGATGGAGCTGAGTGTTTATAAAATGGGGTAGCGTTGTTTTTTAAATATTTTTCGCTTTAAAATTTTGGTTCTAACCATTTTATATTAAATTGCGTATTTTAGAGATTTTAGGTTGTTAAAGGTACACGAAATCAGTGGCTACAATACTCAACAATTAGCAATTATATTGTACGCTGTTGTTTCAACGCTCGATAGATGGCGTTAGGATCGAGTTAGATGGCGCTATGGTTTCGTTACCGGCGAAAGTATAGGTTCCGAGCTTCCATAGCAAAATGTATTCCGGTAGCATCTACAAACCTGATTGATTAGTAATTTGTTCGCTCTGTAGTTTGAATATTCAAGTGTTGTTTTTAGTATAGATATTATTCATTATTGTATAAAGTAGTTTTTTTTTTCGTTTTTAGTCGTTTTTTTCATTATACGTATTTTAGGTTAGGTTAGATAGTGAAGTGGTTTATTTCTAATTATAAGTAGATGTCTAAAGTAGTTAGGTTTTCGATAGGAATTACGTCACTTTGTTGTCGTTTAGATTATAGTTTACTTTTTATTTTGTATTTTATTTTTTAGTTAGTTTTAGTTAGTATTTTTAATTTTTTTAATTTACCCATATTTTTAAAATGCCTTCCAAACGCAATCTAATTTGTCGAGCACCTCATCTAAAGCTCGGGCAATGAAAATTGCCCGATCTCAAGAATCATCTCTCCATACTGAATTAAGAGGTGCGCTCAAGCAGAGCGTCAGGCTGCTTCGAGAGCGGCTGAGCTACCATCTCAGCGCCAGCAAAGACTTGAGGAAGCAAGCCACTCGCCAAGCTTCTTTGAGGGCTTCTGAGAATGATATTCGTACTCAAGTCCGTATATCACAACAGGCTCAACGTCAGACAGCACTAAGGGCGTTAGATCCCCTCTTCAAACGCAGCTACGTTTAGAGGAGCAGGCTGAAAGACAAGCTGTTTTGAGAGCTAATGAGACACCTCTTCAAACGCAACAACGTTGAGAGCAAGCTGAGCGACAGGCAGCTTCTAGAATGGCGGAACTCCAGAAGAGTCTCTGGAGAGAAGAACCGCGCATGCAGAAATGCAAGCTGAACGGCGTCGAGCTTTCATGAGAAACAGTTGGTCTGTGTTTAATAATACTGCATTCGAATACGATCCTTTGATCGATTACAAAAACCATTCCTTGGTCGTCATCGGGTTAATGAATAAAAAGTGTAGGTTTTGTGATGCTCTTAAATGGAAGGACGAAACGGCAGGTCTATGTTGCTTCAATGGGAAAATACGTATTCCTACATTGGATGCACCAGAAGAACCCCTCAAAACTCTTCTTTTATTTGACTCTGATGAATCACGGCGCTTTTTAAATAAGATTCGAAAATATAATTCCTGTTTCCAGATGACATCTTTCGGGGTAGATCGGGAAATAATCATGCCTGGTTTTTCACCAACTTTTACTGTCCAGGGCCAAGTTTACCACAGGATCGGTTCTTTGCTTCCCGCGGCCAATGAACAACATAAATTTCTTCAGATATATTTCATGGGAGATGAAGATAATGAAGCGGATCGGCGATGTCAGTACATTCAAGGAGTTGAGAGGGAGTCGTAGTAGAAATCCAAAGAATGTTGCATGAGCATAATCAACTTATCAATACGTTTAAAACGGCTTTAGACCGCATGCCTCACGAACAGTACAAATTGGTTATTCATGCCGATCGCACTCCGCACGGAGAACACGAGAGACGATTCAATGCGCCTCTCATCAATGATGTTGCTGCAGTGGTTTGTGGTGACTTTTCTTCATCACGCGACATCGTCCTCCGTGCGCATGATAATACTTTGACACGCGTACCCGATACTCACAAGTTCTATGACGCCCTTCAGTATCCCTTGATTTTCAGCAAAGGCCAGGAAGGTTACCATTTTGACCTGCCATTAATCAACCCAACTACAGGTCAACCCATGGCTAATAAAAAAGTATCCTGCATGAATTTTTATGCTTATCATATGATGTTGCGTGAGAATGGTTTTAACTTGCTGCCCCGTTTTAAGCAACTTTTCCATCAGTTTTTAGTGGACATGTGGTTAAAACAGAGAGCGAGCGCCTCCGTTATATAACTCTGAACCAAAAGAAATTACGAGCTGAACAATACATTCACCTGCAAGATGCAGTAAGTAACGATGCCAATGTAAATCCCAGGGATTTAGGAAAGATGGTCATTCTCCCATCAACTTTTATCAATAGCCCGCGATATTTACATGAATATACGCAAGATGCTTTTGCATACGTACGTGCTCACGGCCGTCCCGATCTCTTTGTTACATTCACCTGTAACCCATCTTGGAAGGAGATAACAAATGAATTAATGCCAGGTCAGAAACCAATTGACAGACACGACTTGATAGCTAGAGTATTCAGATTAAAAGTACAGAAACTTATGGGTGTCATTACCAAAGGTAAAGTATTTGGCGACGTGCAATGTTATATGTACTCCATCGAATGGCAGAAAAGGGGGCTGCCCCATGTTCACATTTTGATTTGGCTCAAGGAGAAACTGCGACCTACACACATTGACAATCTGATTAACGCTGAAATTCCTGATCCTACAGGAGATAAAGTTGCACGACACTATAGTTAAAAACATGATACATGGTCCCTGTGGCACACGTAACCCTACGTCACCGTGTATGAAGGAGGGAAAATGCACAAAAAAGTACCCACGCTCACTTATAAAAGACACTATCCACAATGAACAGGGTTATCCGTTATACAGAAGAAGATCACCTGAAGACGGAGGCCGAACGGTTACTATCAAAACCCGCAGCGGAGCTTTTGAAATTATGGACAATAGTTGGATTGTACCGTACTCGCCAATTTTATGTAAAATATTTAATGCCCATATAAATGTAGAGGCCTGCGGTTCCGTGCGCGCAATAAAAT